ACTTGCGCTTTTTGTCTTTTCTTCCAAACCCTGGTTAGGATACATAGTGCCATCTGCGTTAGGGAAACCTGCTGGGCCCCCAAAAGTATACTTAGTGGTTTTAAGTAGTTTTGGTTTTGGTCGGCAGGTAGTGGGTGCTCAACAAATATTTGATGAATGAGTGGATTTCTTTTTGGCCATATGACACAGTTAACTACCATTCGCTCAAGCCACAAGAAGCACAATTTGTAATCCCCCCCCCATGCCTTTTCTTCTAAACGTCATTCTTGATAAACTGCATAATGCCTAATCTTTTTGGTTTGTGTTATGGTTTTTCACTACAGATGAGTAGCGTTTAACATTTTTTCAGCAGGTTGTCATTTACAGAAAAAGACAGGATAATACCTCTCAAGTCCACATCTTCGGTAAAAACAGACCTCTCACCGGGTATTGCACTTTTTTTTCTTTTTAAACTAAACAATAGCCATCTATCAAGTTCTTACACTGTTTTGTATTATGCTCTTCAGTTTACACAAAGAATTATACTTCATGTGTGGAGTTAAAAATACATCCAAATACACAGAACCAGAATACAATCATGTTTGGAAGGCTGGGGTTAGGAGTGAGATGCAATATAGGTGGGTGAATTTACAGGTAAGTCAGACAAGTGAGGCTAGCCACCCAAAGTACAAGATGAGGAAGATGTTTATACTATATCCCATACTGAAAATTCACTAAGTAGGTTTTAGTTTTTCTCTCTCTCTCTCTCTCTCTTGTGTGTGTGTGTGTGTGTGTGTGTGTGTGTGTGTGTGTATTTGTTTATCTGTAGTAACCCAAAGATGTCAAAGTAATTGATTGGATCAATTTTTTTTTTGTGATCCCTACTAGATGCAGAGGGCTTTTGTTTGGTGTCTGTTGAAACAAGCCCTTCTCTTTTAAAGGTGGTGATTAAAATTAACACGGCACTTCAGAGTAAGACTAGAACTTGAATTAAGTGCCTGAGGAAAGAATATATCTCCCCAGTTTTTCCTACTTCAAACTTTTGCCTAGAGACAAAAATAAACAGTGTCTACCAGATATCTGACTTTGTTCCATATCAGTCCTAGAATAAGTAGGTTTTATAAAAAAAAACAATAAATAAAAACAAACCAAGAAAGGACTAGGGGTTTAGCTCAGTGGGTAAAGAGAGGGCTTGCCTAGCATGGATGACTCACTGGGTTCATCCCTACCATATCTCCCCCTCCCCCCAGATAAATAATGAAATAAAGAGACCTAAATTTTGTATGACCAGCAGGGTGGTGGTGGTTATATATTTTTAATCCCAGCACTTGGCAGGCAGAGGCAGGTGGATATATGTGAGGTAGAGGCCAGCCTGGTCTACAGAGTGAGTTCCAGGACATCTAGAGCTATACAGAAAAAACCTGTCTTGAAAAACCAAACCAAACCAAACCAAACAAACAAAACCCATTTGTAAGACCACAAGAAATGAAACAAATCATGATATGTTATGTAATATTCCTTTACATTATGTGAAGATGTGTCACTATGATTGGTTTAATAAAAAGCTAAATGACCAATAGCTAGGCAGGACCTCTGGACAGAGAGAGCTCTGGGAAAAAGAAAGGTGGAGTCACCAGGAAACAGAGGGATCAGACATGCAGGAGGAGAGGTAAAAGCTTCTGAGTCATGTGGCAACATGCAGATGAATATAAATGGATGAATTTAAGTTTTAAGAGCTAATAGGACAAGCCTAAACTATAGGCTAAGCTTTTAAAATTAATAAGTCTCTGTCATTACTAGGGGGCCAATGGTCCTGAAGAAAAATCTGCCTACAATGATAAAACTTATATCTTTGCACTGTATTTTGTGACTAATAAATGGAAACCTTTTCTTCCACATCTGATGGAACAATTACTTAGTCACTGGTGCAGTAGTATATATCTTTAATTGGATTGGAGCAAAACTTTAATAATCAGGAAGAAAATAATAAGTGTATATGTTGGCCCATAATTCTTTTGTTGCCTGAAGGTGTAACACAGTCTAGCACACATCTTCACATCTTTCCTTCAGGGAAACAAAGAAAAATGTGTAGGAATGTGATCTGTGGTATTGATGTGGGAGATGTTTAACCCATATTCTCTCAAACTTTCTAAATAAACCACCTCAAATAACTCTAGGCTCTAAGTGGAAATACATTTTGCCATAGAACTATGTCTCCAGGGCTAAAAATGTAGTACATTTGGTAGAGGGCTTGCCTAGCATGCATTGGTTCTCTCCCCAACACCAAACCTGGTGAGATGGTAAACACCTATAATCTGAGGCAAAGGGTTAGAAGTTCAAGGTCATCTGAGGCTACATGGCAGGTTGATGGCTCTTGATGGGGTATACATAAGAGACTCCATCTAATAAAAGGACAAGGAGGAGCATCTCATCAAACAAGACCAAGAACTGTACCCCCTTCCCAACCACAATTAACACCCTTAAAGACCCTATATAGAAAAATTTGAACTATTCATGTTTAATTAACGTTCAACTGTACAACGACTCCAACAAGTGGAATGTTAAAGCAGATTAACGGGTTGGGCTCTGCAATCATAACAGATATTAAGTATTCTCTCCTTTAGCTTAACCATTAAACTTTGGACAGGTCTTCACTTCTTGGTGCTTCATTTTCTACAGTGTTAGATTACTTTGGGTGACTTCAAGGAAGGAAGAAAAAGCAGAAAGAGAGAGAGTCCAGTCTGACCTTTAGGCAGGACTCTTTATTCATGGCAAGGGGACATTTTGTTATCCATATGTGAGGATGGCAAAATGCCTACAGAAAAAACTGGCCGTGGCCCTCTTAATAGGGGCACAAATGATTACCAGAGGTATATTCCTTTTGTAGTTCCTCCCTTCTGGAGCTGTCTGCAATAGCTGCAAAGGACGTTTGTAAGTGTACTCTTTTAGCAGGAAACAGTCACTCAGCAGCAAAATAGCATGCCCAGTAATCTCTTGCCTGGTTTTTGTTAGGTCTGTGTGCAATCAAGCAAGTTATAAATTTAGACCAGGTCATTCTAGAAGTGATGATTCTACTTTCATTTTGGTAACTACTACTCAGAGATAACAGATGTGATAATAAATGACTTATAATTCTCTTATGCCATGCATATATGTCAGAACGCAGAGAACCTTCTTGCTACATCACAAATGCCAGTTGTCAGGAAGGCTTTTCTCCATCTTCTCTGCTAGTATGCTTCAGAAGTGTAATATATATTGCTTCAGAGCTGGAACCAAGGGCTTGTTGATTAGCTCCTTCTTACAGAGATTGCAGAAAATTAGATGTGACTGAGACTTGCAAGTGAACAATTTCATGACAGACACGGATGAAGAATATTACTATATAAATTACACAGTCCATTTTAATTTCTCTTAGGTAATGTAATTTTATGTGGTTGCCTTCCTTAATCATTGAAGACTTAATAAACACTCACTTTATGATGCATTGCTGTTTGTTGAAATATGAATGGAACAGCACTTAAATAAGACACATCAAGGTGGAACCTTAGTTTGTTGAGCCACTATGATATAATGATTTAGAAAAGGCTAGGGAGTTGCTGTCTGGAGCCAACACTTTATAGTTCTAACAACACACAATGTAGCTGTAGCACTGCAAGAAAATATCATTAGGACACAATAACTTTTTGGCTCCTCTCAGAACTCATGATTTTATCAACGATATCCTCAGTGAGAGAAATGCCATCCTTTAACCAGGTATTAGATTTTGTTCCTATACATTGGTGGTATGCACCTTGTATGTAACTGTTTCTATTGATGGAAGCCCCAAAGTAGTTCCAGGGGAGGGATTTCCTAGCTCATTGCATATCATAAAACACAGGAAAGCAAAACATCATCTTAAATCTTAGACATTAATGTATAACCACAAAGAGAATATGAAATTCTGTTTCTTTAAAGGAAGAGAGAATTTGCGCTTGCACATGTCTAATACTTGGGTAGATTACAGATGCAGCCAACAGTGCATTTGATAGTGCAATTGCTAATGGTTTCCATGCAGAGGAGTAAGAGCA